CAATAAAATGCTCCAAGGAACTGCGACGACCAAGCAGCTCTACCTTGAATCCTTGCGATCCCACTCTAACTCTGTCCGAATCCGATATCTCCAATACCTAGCTCTGCACAAAAATGTGCAGAAGTGTATTATGAGTACACCACGGTCGGTACCCAGTAAGTATCAAGACTAACCTCAGTGCAGTAGAGACGAGGTACAGTCAAGACACTCACTAATCTAATAACTTGTGCAATATGATATATAAAATAATAGAAAACAAATAGCAGTGATAGCAACACAAATCAACTAGTGATTTAAACTGCAAGGCAACAAGAATACCGTAAAATACTACTCAAACGAATAATAAACACAGGTACAACCAATTAATCAAGTCCTTTCAATATACATCTTTTATCTATAAATTTTTCAATAAAAGTCTCTAGAATATAATCCTTTTCAATAAATATATTTCGAATATACTTCCTTCAAATAAATATCCTTCCATTATAATTCTTTCAAATAAATATCTTTCGAATATAATTCTTTCAAGTAAATATCCTTCAAATATAATTCTTTCAAGTAAATATCTTTCAAATATAATTCTTTCAAGTAAATATCCTTCAAATATAATTCTTTCAAATAAAAGTCACCTTGTGAGACCTCATTTAACTTTTCTTGCGTGAGAAATATATTCAACGTATCACATCAAATGGCACGGCAATACCTTCGTGCACTTGTCTCATTCTCACCCAATACATATATGTAGATCAAATCAATTGGCACGGTAACACCCTTCGTGCATTTATATCTTTCTCACTGTGCATACATATAACAGTACCAACTAGGTGAGAGAAATTCCAATAACAATAAAAGAAATAAAGTGGAGACACATAGGAAGCAACAACGACTGCAAGTCACATAGAAAACAAAGGTTCACAATAACATCTCAAGATAAAGGCATGAATGTATACAAAACAAACTGATATCACAATATAATATATGTCTCTCGTCCTCACCTGTACGAAAACACCCTTCGTGCCATGAATATATGATAATATAAAAATAATTGCACGGCATCACCCTTCGTGATTTTACTCTCATCCTCACCAAATAATATAAATGAAATAGCACGGAATCACCCTTCGTGCTTTACACTCTCAAATGGCACGGCATCACCCTTCGTGCTTTACACTCTCAAATGGCACGACATCACCCTTCGTGCTTTACACTCTCCCTCGCATGATAATATAGTTCAAATGGCACGGCATCACCCTTCGTGCATTACACTCTTCCTTACCAAGCATATGTATATCATTAACAAGCAAGGTAGGAAGCATAAATAACATCAAGGAGAGTGTTTAAACCACAACACAATACAACAATTCATATCACAATTTGCCATTGACCAAAACCAAATTCCAAATATGTAGCAGAATCAATAAATTCTTCAACAAATAGCCCATGGCTCCACAAAACGTATATAAAACCTCAAAACAATCAACAAATTTGAAAAATACTTAGTATAGGGCAACACCTTCATCAATCCAAATTCTTGATAATTATATGAACTCCTCAATTTAAACTTATTTAATAAATATTTTCAAATAAGGATCCCATCATGAATTTAATTCCAAGGAAAATATCAAATCAACAAACACACGTAATTCACATAAAATCCAAATGACAATAACACCAAGTTATTATATAAAATACAAACTTGACAAATAAGGAATGAGGCGTGATAATTCAAGGATTTACTAATGCCAACAACTATCTAATTTAATAAATAAGAATGCCTAAAACTTTAAACCAATAAAATTTGCACATATAAGCCTTAGTACGTACTCGTCACCTCGCGTACGCGGCTTTCAAATCACACAATTTCCACATAAGACTCAATGCCTAAGGGGTAATTCTCCCACTTGAGGTTAGGCAAGATACTTACCTTATTAAAGTTATGCTGATATTCCAAAATCGCCTTCTTGTTTGAATTGTCCTCCGGACAGCTCAAATCTATCCAAATTAATTGTACCACTTCATTAAAATTCTTCAGAAATAATTCCGGATAATAAAACACCAACTTAAAATTTTTATTCTAAAAAGTCAGTGCGGGGCCCGTCCCTCAGATTCGGACAAATATTTTACGAAATCCAAACACCTATTCCGATACGAGTTCAACCATACCAAAATTATCAAATTTCGATGACGGATCGCCATTCAAATCTTAAATTAAAGTCTAGAGAATTTCTACCATTTTCAACCCAATTCACTAATTTAGTGATAAAAACAACACTAGATTCATGTAATTTAATCAAAATCAACTTAGGAATTCTTACCCCAATGTTTTCCTTGAAAATCTCTTGAAAAATCACATCACCCGAGCTTCCTTGGTCCAAAAATGGAAGAATGAGACAAATTTGGACTTTATTCTGCTGCCGAGATATTTGTTCTTCGTGTTCGCGACCCTTCTCTCGCGTTCGAGATGATCAAATTCTCCAACAACCATTTTCAAACTCTTCTCAGATAGCCTCTAGTATAATGGTCATAACATTTTGGATTATCTCCAAATTCCTTATAGATTACGAGATATGAGCCTCCAAAGTAAGACTATTGCAACAGAGATTTCCTTCTTCGCGAACGCGAAGAACAAAATCCCAAAAGTCAAATCCTTCTTTGCGAACGCGAGAGGCTCCTCGCGAACACGAAGAACAACACCAGATACTAGCAAATCAGCATTCAAAGTAGCCCAAAATGATCCGAAACACACCCAAGGTCATTGGGACCTCAACCAAACATACCAAAGCATCCCATAACATCATACGAATTTAGTCGAAGATTCAAATCACCTTCAACAACACCAAAAACACGAATTACACACGGATTCAAGCCTAATGAACTTAGAAATTTTTGAATTCCACATATGACGTCGAAATCTCCCAAACCACGTCCGAATGACCTCAAATTTTGCACACAAGTCAGAAATGGCACAACGAAGCTATTCCAATTTCCAGAATCGGATTACGACCCCGATATCAAAAAGTCAACCCCCGGTCAAACTTCCCAAAAATTCATCTTTCGCCATTTCAAGCCTAACTCCACTACAGACCTCCAAATAATTTTTCGGACACGCTCCTAAGTCCATAATTGCCATACGGAGCTATTGACATCATCAAAATTCTATTCCGGAGCAGTTTGCTCAAAAGTCAACTCTTCGGTCCACTCTTTACATTTAAGCTTCTAAATAAGGATTGTTCTTTTAATTTAATTCTGAATCTTCAGTAATTCAACTCGATCACACCCGCGGGTCATAATACATATTCTCGAAACTGCTTGAGACCTTAAGTCACTGAACGAAGCGTTAATTCTTAAGCTTGGATACTTTAAGAGGGGAGCGGTGTGTACTACGTAAGGGTATACCCTCATAAAATAAAGAGAAAATCTAAAACCTTGAAAACCCAAGACACTGTTCTCCAATGCACCCTCTCAATGGATCAACCACACAAGTTTTTCAGGTCGCAAGCAAATCAATATATTTCGCTTATCGAGAGACATTTTGAAAGTTTTGAAGTTAATTGGATTAATACAATTCAGTATTTTAAAATAAAACTTTAGATATTCAAAAACAATACGAACAGTACTGGAAGTTGTAATTTTTCTCATATCAATATGATAAAATGTATATTTTAAAATGTTGTCAAATTTCATATAATTTGATTATCGATGAGTGAAATGTATCATCTGAATTGAAATAGAGGAAGTACTCCCTCCGTTCACTTTTACTTGTCAGGTATTTCATAAATAAATTTTTATTTTTACTTGTCACTTTTCGCATATCAAAAGAAAAATAATTTATTTTTCCTGTTTTACCCTTAACATTTTTTTTTATTATTATTTTTTTAATTTTTTTATTTTGCCTAAGGGCTAATATATAAATAAAATCCCAAAAATGGGTCCAATGCTTACAAGCTGTCCAAACCAAAAACCAAAATAAAAGTTACATGAAACTACAAGCTATTAAAAAAGATAGAAAAGCTAAAATCTAATGAACTAACTATTACAACATGATAAGTTGAATGCTTCCTTCTCCTATTAGTGTATGTGAATCCAATTGTCATTGGCAAATACCAAGTAGCACCTATCAAGCTCTCACCAGGCGGCAGGGTATATTGTCCATAGTCTAAAATGAATTCCAAACATCTCCACCGCAGAGTTGAAGTCCGCATCATCCTCCAAGTGCCGCTACTATATGATCTCCATATGCAGTGGATTGATTTTGTTCAAGTATTAATCATGTGCTCACTCATCAAGATTAATGTGTAGAAGAGGAGCCTGGCTTTAGGCAGGCTTTGTAAGGCAAAAGCCAGGCTTGAGCTGGCTTTAGGCAGGCTTTACAAGGCAAAGGCCAGGCATGCGCTGGCTTTAGGCAGGCTTTGCAAGGCAAAAGCCAGGCATGAGCTGGCTTTAGGCAGGCTTTGCAGGCCAAAGGCCAGGCGTGAGCTGGCTTTAGGCAGGCTTTACAAGGCAAAGGCCAGGCGTGAGCTGGCTTTAGGCAGGCTTTACAAGGCAAAAGCCAGGCATGAGTTGGCTTTAGCCAGGATTTACAAGGCAAAAGCCAAGCATAAGCTGGCTTTAGGCTAGCTTTACAAGGAAAAACCCAGGAATGATCTGGCTTTAAGAAGACTTTGCAAGGCAAAGGCCAGCCTGTGCCTTTTTGTGATCTTGTAAGCACAGATCCTTCCCTACTAGAACCTTTAATGGAGACATCATTCAAAACATTGCTAAACCATCCTCAGATTGAGCTTGAAAGCATGCTAATACCACTGAGAAATGATTCAACAATCTCCAAAAATACCATATGATGGGTTCAGTATCTTCCTTAGCATTTGGACATATCAGTTTGTTCAGAGTCCAATCTTGTGAAGCCATCAGTCTGGGGTTCTTCTCTTTGCTATCCTAATCCTAAGGTTAGGTGATTGAGATTTGTCTAGATTGATCAACCTCCTCCCTGCACTAGGCAGTTTAGAGAATGAATGAAACTCAGATGTACCTGCAAAAGAGAACACAATGTTAGCTATAAAATCCGCCACTGAGTTGCCTTCTCTGAACACATGTTGAAAGATCACATTGAAGTTGTCCTTCATCTCTATAATTTTCTTCACATCCTGTGCAATTACCCAAGGAGGATCCCATTCCCCTTCTATCGCCTTCTTCATCACCAATGAATCAGTCTCCAGTATGAGAGGGTGAAAATCATGCTCCACACAATATTCCAACCCTTGAAGAATAGCCTTAGCTTCAGCCACCACATTAGTTGTAACTCCCAGGTCTACTGCCCTAGCATACACCACATCACCTTCATCATCCCTCACACAAAAGCCTAGGGAGCTAGGTCCAGGATTGCCCTTTGAAGCTCCATCAGTATTACATTTGTACCAACCATGACAAGGAAGCTGCCATGTTACTCTTGTAGTGATCAATATAGGTTTATATCCTTCAAAGTATTGAATCATGTCTGGCCATAACAATGGAATATTTGGGATCCAAGCATACCTCACCCTTCCCAGTTGATGCAATGTCCTATTTATCTCATGAATCACCCTATTTGTGGACATTGAACCACCATGTTTACCTGCACTTCTTCTCTTCCACAGCTCCCAAGTGATGATAGCTGGTACTGCTTGAAATAGTGGCTTTAATTTCGGACAACACTGAGCATACCACCAATGCCTTATAATCTGCTTCAATTGAATCAATTGCACAGAAATTCCAGCAGCCCCATGAACAAGTTCCATACCTTGGAGGCAGTAGGACTTGTGACAAATATATGCTCAATGGATTCCTCTTGGGGCTGCTGACAACAC